AGGTTATGGTATGGTACGGTAATGTTTGGTTTGGTATGGGTTACTGGAGTAGTATGGTAGGTACGTGTGGCATTGGTGTGATATGGTATGGTATGCTATGGTACGCCATGGTATGGTATGGTGCGGTATGGTACGTATGGTGTGGTATGGTATGGTATGGTATGGTATGTGTGGTAGGAACTATGGTATGGTATGGTGAGTGTGGTAGGAATAATATTGTGCTGTATGGAAGATGGAGCGGGAGGTGGGTGGGAAGGAGAGGGTGTTCTGGGAAAACAAGAACCCCACTCAGGATGTGGGGAATAATAGTATTACGAATAATAATAATACGGACAATCATACTGATACTACCAAGACTAATACACACAACATGTTCTACACAAACACGTTTGGTGCCATGGTGGGCAGCTCTAGCCCAGGCTTCCGTCGGCAATGGCAAGGCCATGCCCGCTAGAACGAGGCCTCTTTCGCAAGAGGATTTTGCCAAACAGGCAATGCGACTACTTTTGCAGAGCGTGGGAAAGAAGGGGCGCTACTGAAGGGAGGGTGTGTGTTGACTGGCAGCGGGGACCCTGTAAGGTGTTCCTCTTGGGGGGTGGAAGCTCTGAGTAAGCATATGGCCCAAGCCCTGAAACCACTGTTTGCTGTGATGTATTGCGTATCCGCCCCATGTGCTTTTTATCGGCTTCGCCCTTGGGCCCACATGGAGGACCGCCCGGGGGGGCGGGCGAGGGGCAAGGTCGGGTCGGGCGCCACGGCAGTGGAGGACTGCACAGGGAGAGCGGGGAAGGGGAAGGGGCACCCACGGGCTCAGCGAACGCGCAGATCTGCCCACGCAGTCTCAATCATCACGGCCAGCGCCACCATGCTAAGAGTAGGTCGGGCATGTCCTCCTACAGGCGGATTTTGGAAGAAGAAGAAGAAGAAAACAAAAAAAACACCGGCTCTGTCGGCGGGCGGCAGGGGCTGTTCCATCGCCATCGCCGTCGCTGCCGCCGTCGCGTCGCCGCCGCCATCACGTCCCCTCCTTCCCCTGAGTCCGTCGCCGCTCCACCCTTTCCTTGGGCCCTCGTCCTCAAGCACGCCAGCCACAGCGAAATACACCAGCCCATCCACAGCGAAATCAAGCAACGTTGTCATGGAGTCGAAGGGAAGCCCCTTCCATTTGATCCCTTCCCCGCGGAGGGCGGGGGGGTCCCCGGGGGGGTCCTGGGGCGTTGTCCCGAGGGGGGGCTGTCCTGGGGGGGGATGCCGGGGGGGGTCCCAGGGGGGGGGGGCCGGGAGGTGGTCCGGGATCAGAATACCACCCTCCCTGGGCCCATGGCCCGCCCTCTCCCTCCCATTTCCGTCGAGTGCCGATGCCTCCAGCGTCGGCGGCACCTGCCGTAAGGCCGTAGCCGTAGTCAAAGCATGATCAAACACAGCGAAAAAAGAGCAAGGAAAATCGTCCCCAGACTATTTTTAACTATTCAGAAATATTCCTCAGGGGCATGCCCGACTTAAACGTACGTTCAATCATCACGGCCAGCGCCACCATGCTAAGACGTCAAGCCTTTCTGAACTGGCGGGGGAGGGCGGGCGATGCACGGGGGGAGTCAACTCATGCTACAAACTCACAGTTGCGGCAAGTTTTGTCGTGCCGACCCTGGCGTCGGCTTCTGGCACCGCGTGGATCGGCGGCTTTGTGATCGCCAGGTCGTTCCCTCTTGGCCGATTTTGAGCCACTGGTGACGTTCACCCTTGAACGCCCCCGCGGCGGGGTCGCCGCCGCGTCGACACAGCACGACACGAACCTGCCGTATATCTTTCGAGGCTCTTGCTATGCGGTTGGGAGCTCTAGCTTGGCGTGTCGCGGCGGCGGCCCCGGCGACACGCTGTACTGTGCAAACAGATAGCGTATCGCTCTGCTCCGCAGGACCGGAAGCTGGGAAAGACTCCCGACGTGGACGCTCGGGGACCGAGAAGTTACTGGGGCCCAGGGGCGCACAACTAGATACACGCACGGATCACAAATCCCAGGATTCCCCACATGTTTCCCATATGTTCTTGGTGTCCGGCGTCCCCCCACTTCCCATCTCCTGGGAGTCGACGATGACTCGTTTCTGTGTGTGTTTCCCCATCCCGAGATTCGGACGGCGTGCCACGCCGAAGCGTGGCGGGCCAGGAGCGGAGCGACACGCCAAGGCCAAAGTTCCTGGCCGTGAGCCCGGGGCCGCGGGCAGCTCGGGCAGGTGGTACTGGGGGGTGCAGTCAACCAGTATAGCAAGGATGCGCGATGAGGATGCAAGGGCCTCGGACGCCCATTTCGAAGCTCTTCGAGCGGGGCGCGGCCAGCGAAAGCGGCGGAGGATGGACCGAGGAGGCAAGGATGCAAAAGTACCCTTGGGAAGGTTGCCCATCCTTACTATGCGGGTTGACTGTAGCCCTAGGTCGGGCATGTCCTCCCACGGGCAGGTTTGTGATAAAGATGAATACAGCATTGTCAACCAATTCTTGCTAAAGGTAGAAAGATCGGCCCCAGGCTGGTTTTGCCTATGTTTGCACAATCTTCCTGTAGAAGGATATGCCCGACTTCCGGGTAGCCGGACTGGAGGGTGAAGACAGGGGCCCTGACGGGGCCCCGTAGAACCCTTTTTGGAGCCAGCAGGGGCGCCACAGGGCTCCATGTAGCGCCATCCTCTTCACCCCTCCATTTGGTGTCCGTTTCATGGGAGCCTGCGTGGCCCCTGGCGCTGTCCGATTTGGGCCTGATTTGGACCACATTTGGGCCAGAATTGGACGAGACTCGCCCCTCCACAAGAAGGGGGACGACAAGAACGAGGCGGAGGAGGAGGATGAGGAGGAGGAGGAGAAACAGGAATTACGAGGAGAAGCAGGAGGAACCAAATGCGGCCCCAGTGCGGTCCAAATGCAGGGAAAGCTGATTTCAATGTCGCCGTCCAAGGCTCTCATGAGCAGACATCCACGTAGGTCACCCAGCATT